TCTGGGAAGTGAGCATGGGGGTGTGGGGCCATGCCAACCAGCCTGTCGGGGGAGTTGGTACAGGGCTGTGCCAATCAGCATGTCCAGGGGAGTGGGCACAGGTGAGCCAGTCAGCCCATGTGGGGGCGGGGGTGAGCGGACATGCCTACGCTCTGCAGGGCTGTTACCTGCTCGTGGTCGCAGAAGTAGCCGTCCAGCTTCTGCAGGTTGGGTGGGCACTGCAGAGAAAGAAAGGGGGTCTCCATGGACCCTGCTCGCACACAGCTCTGCCAGTGCCCCGCTGCCATCCCAGCTCTGCCCCCCACACCACAGCACACCCCACCAGTCCCCCTCAGTCCTAAGCCAGCACCTGCCCAGCAGGCACCCCCTCGGCTGCTCCAGGGCCAGGACTGGGGCTCTGGCCTTGGCCAGCTGGGAGCAGCGCCGCCTGGGGCAGGGCCGGGCGCAGCACAGCCTACGCGCTGGAGACAGTTTGCTCCAACGCCACCGCAGAGCTGCCAGGCGGGTGTCCTGGCTGAGCTCCCGCCCCTGCCCCCAGCCCCCCTCACCTGGCTGGAGTCCCCAGTGCAGCTCTCCGGGATGTCGCACTCATTGACGGCTTCCCGACACGGTGTGCCCCGCGGCTCGTACTGAAAGAGACGGGAGCGAAGGCCATGACCGACGGGGGCCAGCATCAGCACAGCCGAGTCCCTGAGGCAGAACTCCCCCCTCCAGGCTGGCTGCAGCACCCTCACGTCCCGGCCAGGGCATGTGCTCAGCCCCTCGGGGCGACCCATATCGCAGCCCAGCGCTGTGACCTGGGTCCGGGCTCACTCCCTGTGCAGGGAGGGGCCCGTGGGCTGGCTCTGTCCCTCCCCGCCCTGCAGCGGAGCCAGGATCCCAGGCTCTGTGCTCTGCGTGGGAAGGCCAGGGCAGGGACTGGCTTTGGGTTGGTACCCCTGGCACATGAATGGTTCATTAATAACCTGTCCTGCCCCTGGAGGGTGCTGCCCTCTGCTGGAAGGGCCCTGCCCAGGCGCTTGTGACTGCGTCGCCCTCTAGTGCCCGCAGTCTGCATTAGCCGCTGGTAGGCCCCGTGCAGGGCCTCTCGCCAGTCTCACCTGGCAGCCTTTGCAGCAGAGCCCGTCGCTGCACATGGCATCGTGGGTCAGGGTGCATTTCTTGCAGCAGTTGCCACCGCCCTTTGCACACTCCTGCCAAGGAGAGACATAAGCAGATGCCCGTGATGCCTGTGCCTAGGAGCGAATGCCCCAGGGGTGGTCAGTGTGAGACACCGCATCCTCATGCTTGGGGGCTGTGGGGTTAAGGCTGCAATCCTCCAAGCAGCCAGCACTGCCTGCTCCCGAATCCCCCCGCTCCCCGTGCCCTCCCCGAGGCCCAGCACTCACACTCTGAGCTGCCCCGTCCCTGCCTCCCCAGTGCCTGAGCCCGACGGGAGCAGCAGGGCCAGACTCCGGGAATCCTCCTTTGCCTGTGACGTGTGTCTTCGCTCCTGCTGAACTGCAGGGGGTGGGGGCAGGCCCCAAGACATGGTAACAGCCCCAGCAGCCCAGGCCTCTCCCCACCTCTCCCTCAGCCCCACGTTACAACACCTGGTCCCTGATCAGGGTGGGGGGCAAGTGCCCAGCCCCCAATGTCCCCATCCCACAACTGTGCTCCTCGCCCGATGCCCTCCACCCCAGTGGCTTGTGGGCAGACTGGGGGAACTGAAAACAGGCACCGCCCCTCCTGCGCAGCCCCTCACCGCAAGCGAGCCGCAGTCACATTCCTCTCCGGCCTGCACAAAGCCATTGCCGCACTCTGGGGGGTCCAGCAGCTGCAGGGGAGAAGAGAGAGGGGGAGATGGTTCCTGCAGCTTTCACTCCCTCCCTGGGCCCTGGCCAGGGCTCCCCATGTGACCGGGCAGGAGGGAGCCAGGCAGCTGGGGTGCAGGACGTGTTTCCAAGGCCTTCCTGGACCCGCCTCTCCTGTGCCGGGAAGCTGGGCTGGGCTCGTCCCCGGGGAGCTCAGGGCCCCTTAGAACGGGAAGGGTCTGCGGCCATGGGAAATGCAGTCTGGGAGACACGCATCTGGCTCCTTTGCTGCCTGAGGCAGCGGCGGCAGGCTCTGGATCCCACCCTGGCCCCACATGACAGGAAGGGGGAACTCTCCACTCCAGCTCCCCGTCTGCTGGGGGCTTGGCAGTTTTCCAGCTCAGGAGCAATCGGGTGCCCCTACCCTGCAAGCCAGCGCTTCTGGAGCCTCGGTAGCACCCGCCCAGGCACCCACCCTGCCCTAAGGCGACCCCGCTCCTGGGGCCCTTTCAGACCTGGGCCTGTCTGCTCAGCCAGCTGGCCAGGGGCTTGTGTTCGGCTGTGGACACTCGTGGCCCAGGAGCTGGGAGGGAGCCCACGTCCCCCCCGCCCAGCAAAGGGGAACAGCTCTCGGGACTGTGCCGCCCGGGCCATGGCAGAGCAGCGCTGCCAGGGCAGGCAGGAGTCCAGCCCACAGGCCTGGCCGGGGGGGGGCGTTACCTTTAAGGGTTTGTTAAAGAGGCAGCTGCCCCCACCCTCCTGCAGGAACTGACTGTACTCCTCGATGCTGCAACAGGAGAACTTGCGCGGGAGGTAATACCTGCGGGGAGGAGCCAGCAGTTACCGCTGCCATGGTCAGTGCAATGTGCTACGCTTCCCCTCCCCCCCCCCCAGCCAGGGCTATGAACTAAACTGGGAGGAGTGGTAGATACACTGGAGGGTCGAGATAGGATACAGACGACCTAGACAAATTAGAGGATTGGGCCAAAAGAAACCTGATGAGGTTCAACAAGGACAAGTGCAGAGTCCTGCACTTAGGACGGAAGAATCCCATGCACTGCTACAGACTAGGGACCGAGTGGCTAGGACACAGTTCTGCAGAAAAGGACCTAGGGGTTACAGTGGACGAGAAGCTGGATATGAGTCGACAGCGTGCCCTTGTTGCCAAGAAGGCTAACGGCATTTTGGGCTGTATAAGCAGGAGCATTGCCAGCAGATCGAGGGACGTGATCATTCCCCTCTATTCGGCATTGGTGAGGCCTCATCTGGAGTACTGTGTCCAGTTTTGGGCCCCACACTACAAGAAGGATGTGGAAAAATTGGAAAGAGTCCAGCGGAGGGCAACAAAAATGATTAGGGGGCTGGAGCACATGACTTATGAGGAGAGGCGGAGGAAACTGGGGTTATTTAGTCTGCAGAAGAGAAGAATGGGGGGGGGTTTGATAGCTGCTTTCAACTACCTGAAGGGGGTTCCAAAGAGGATGGATCTAGACTGTTCTCAGTGGTGGCAAATGACAGAACAGGGAGTAATGGTCTCAAGTTGCAGTGGGGAGGTCTAGGTTGGATATTAGGAAAAACTATTTCACTAGGAGGGTGGTGAAGCACTGGACTGGGTTACCTAGGGAGGTGGTAGAATCTCCATCCTTAGCGGTTTTTAAGGCCCGGCTTGACAAAGCCCTGGCTGGGATGATTCAGTTGGGAATTGGTCCTGCTTTGAGCAGGGGGTTGGACTAGATACCTCCTGAGGTCCCTTCCAACCCTGATATTCTATGATTCTATGTGCCCTCCCCACAGTCTATTTCCTACACACTGCGTCCTGCCCAGCTCAGCATGAGACACGTACTAGATGCCTAGAGTCATTCCCAGCCCTGGAGTGCCGGGGGCTGCAGGCCAGTCCCTCTGCTGAGGCTCCTGCAGCATCAGCCGTGAGAGCAAGGCGGGGGATGCCCCATGGGGTCAGGCCGGACTGCCACATCCTGGCTGCTGTGGGCTTAGCTCGGTCCCTCAGCAGCGCATAGCGAGGGTCACACACCAGCCCAGGGCTGACTGTAGGCTGGGAGGAGGCTCTCTGAGCACAGAACAGGCGAATTGAACATGTGTGGCTGCTGTTCACCTCGCTGGCAGGCCAGGCTAGGAGCCGTGCTGGCCAGGAGCCGCTCTGCACAGCAACACCAGCGAGATCAGCTGGCAAAGCAGGCGGCCCCGGCCACACCAGCCAAGCCGAGCGTCTCTCTGTGCTCCAAGAGTGACCTACTCCTGGACGCCAGGGGGTGCAATGTGCAGTGTACTCTGGGGCACTGCCCCTTGTGTGCCCCATGCCAGCACAGGTGCCCTTCATGTACCACATGTTGGGGGGCCCTTCATGGCAGCAGCTGGTGATCAGCAAATGCCCTGCCCAGGGCTCAGAAATGGCTGGTGCCACCCATATGTTTTACCAGCACATCTGTGAGCCCACTGCCATCTTGTCCCACCCCCATCGGCTCCAGGGGCCAATCAGAGCTGCTGTGCATGCCGATGGACAGCTGGTCCCTGCTCTCACCCACTCCCTCCTTGGCTCAGGTTCCCGGGACGCCAAGCCCCCCCCCTCGCCCACTGACCAGAAGGGAACTCACCCCGTGTCTTCCATGATGCAGCCCAGCCAGGAATCTGGACACCGGCAGTCCCCTGCGGAGAGACGGGACAGCGCTTTAGGGAGCCCCAGCCCTTGCCGTGCCGTCATGGGGCCAAAGGCGCAGGCACTGAGCCCGCCCGGTGACTCCGCCAGAGGCATCTGGAAAGAGTCTCCCCCCCGGCGCTCCCCAGGCCGTACCTCAGCAATGGGGACACGTCACCCCCTTCTGTCATTTCAGGATGCAGCCCCAAACTGGCTTCCTAAGTCCTCAAAGCCAGGATTTGCGAGTCTGCTGCTCAGCCTGGGACGCTGACCCATCCCGAGCGCAATCTCACCCCCGCCTTCAGGGCTGAGCAACATTCAGAGCCCCCCAGACTGTACATGCCAGCAATGGGGCCATCCCACCCCCAGCTCTGCAGCCTGTTCCGGAGGCGCCTTGCACCTTGGAAAGAGTAGTGGGCACGTCTCACTGCCCCTGCGCCTGACCCTCCAAACTCCTGCTTAGCCCCATCACCCCAGCCACCCGCCCCAGCACAGCCTGCTTTCCCCCTAGTCAGTCACTTCTAACCCCCGCCCCTCCCCGGCCCACCGCACACCCGCAGCCAACCTGTGCCCACACACTCCACCTGTGCCCATCCATGGACTGGCCTAGCTGTGCCCTGCTTCGCACAGGCCCAGCCCCTGGCAGCCCAGCGGCAGCCTGTGCCCTTGCACACCCGCCGACTGCACGGCAGTGCCGGCTGCTCTTGGCACCCCGTGCCAGTGTCAGTGCCAAACATTCAGCCCTCTGCACGCTCGGCGCCGTACCTGCGGCGCGCCGCTGCTTGTTCCACATCATGCCGACGTTCTGCCCGAGGGTCTGAGCCAGAGTCACCGCCATGGCGCCAACGTTCCCGTACTGCTGGGGCGGCGAGAGAACGGCAAAGCCATCAGAGCTGCTGGGAGCGGAGAGACGCCAGCAGCCCCCGTCTGTGCGCTCGTCCCCTGGGCTCCCTGAGCTCCCACCAGCCCCTTCACAGCCCCGTATCCATCAGGTTCCAGCCCCCCTGCCAGATCCTGCCGCCCCACAACTTTCCAGAACCC